TTTGTTACTATTGTCTCTGCACTCAGGAATTATTTCTGGCGATGCTCAGGAGACCATATGGGATTTTGGGGATTACACCCAGGTTGGCAGCATGCAAGGCAAGCGCCTTCCCCACTGTATTGTTCCTCCTCGCCCCATTTTTTTTTCTTTTTGGGTTACACCCAGCATCGCACAGGGGTTACTCCTGGCTCTGCACTCAGGAGTTACTCCTGGCGGTGCTCAGGGGACCATATGGGATGCTGGGAATCGAACCTGGGTTGGCTGAGTGCAAGGCAAACGCCCTACTCGCTGTGCTATCGCTCCAGCCCCACCCCAAGATATTTTTTTAAATTAAGTACGCGGATTCAATAATTAAAAGAAAAGTTAACAATATACTATTTCCCCCCTCCCTGCTCCTCCTGTTATTTAGTCCCTGTCCCTGTCACTGTCCTCCCGTTGTTCATCATGCAAGTCAAGCGCTTTATTCGCTGTGCTATTGCTCCAGCCGATGTTATTTAGTAAGGTGTGAAAAAATTATATCTATTAATAAAAAGCTGAGTTTCGACACAGTAACAATAAAGTCTCCAATGGAGACGTTACTGGGCCCGCTCGAGCAAATCGACGATCAACGGGAGGGCCTAGGCAAAAAAAATTAAAAATTAAGTATGCTGGGCAGAGAGCACTATAAGCAATCTAGGCCTCCCTGCACTGGGAAGTTAATATATTGAATGAAAGGTATGACAGGCCCAGGGGTAGCCGAGGAGAAGCAGGACAGGGGTGGGGGTTAGAGAAGGCTGCAGGGGACACCATCCAGTGCTGTGAACTCACCCTGAGATGCGTATTTCTCATGGTAACTCTCATAGGCTTTCTTGTGGGCAGCGGAGATGACCTGGAGTCGCGATGCTCTTGAATCCTGGTGGGGAAGCCCCTCTATCACCTCGTCCAAGTCACTGAACGTGAACCAGATCCCGACAAGGTCCCCAAAGGACTGGAAGGCGAATGCCGCATAGTCAGCGAAGTGGTCAGCAAAGCTGCCCGCTTGGTGAAGGACGCCGGCCGGGAAGGCGCCCCGGTGCAGAATGACCAGGGGCTGCAGATCTGCCGCACCCAGGGCCTGAAGCAGGTGCCGGTAGCACTGCACTGTGCGCGCGGCTGGGGTCTCGGGGCCCCCAGCCGGGAGAAGCTGCACCCAGGGCAGGTAAACTTTATAGTGGGTGACCCCAAGGGCACGAAGACTGCGAAAGTACTCGGGCAGGAAGGCTGGCAGTGGCTGGGGACACACATGAATGTCTTGGTCCCCAGTTCCCGCGTTAGAGCCCTGGCTGGCCTGGGTCCCGCTCAGGTTCCGCAGCAGGTCACTAGTCAGAGGGCCAGCAGATGAAATGAAATCTCTGTCCAGGTCCCAGCCGAAGCCCCAGCACGAAGCACTCAGGAGGACAATCAAGGCTGCTCTCCAGGTCAACCCCATGTTGATGGAACTCCCCGGAGGCACAAGGAGGCCCACTGGTGTCTTCACTTTATAGCTAACGCTGAGGCTGTAAAACGGATTATTAGCACAATATTTAACTGAGCTGCTGATAGCATAATCAGTGCCTGGTTTGCCAATGGAATATAAAACATTTTAAAGAGATAAAAATGCTGACATCTGCTTCTCACAGAATTTAACTCTCTCTCTCTCTCTCTCTCTCTCTCTCTCTTGACCATCTGTGAGATAGATCATTACAAAGCTGTTCACGATAGGGTTTCAGTCACACAATGGTTTCTCACACAACTCAAGCTGAAGATCCTGGGAAGTGTCTGCACAAAATACAAAATGTTTCACATTTGCTATCTTAAAATTCATTCATATGGGGGTGGGTAGTAAATAAAAAAGTATTTGTATAATAGAAAAAGAGCGACTCAGGAAACTTTTCTTCCTGTCAGTGTTTGTGTGTTTGTGTGTGTGTGTGTCGGAGGGGGTAGGGGGGGTGGGCAGAGCCATACTTTAATCAGTGTGCTTGCCTTGCATTTGACCAATCTGGGTTTGATCTCCAACACTGTTTATGTCCCCAGAGCCCCACCAGAAACAAGTCCTGAGCACCGCCGAGTGTGGTCCTAACACACACACACACACACACACGCACACACACACACACACACACACACTTTAAATTTCATAGGGCAGTAAGAGATGAGGGTGAGACATTTGCCTTGCACGTGGCCCACCTGGGTTTGATTCCCTACGCGGCTCCCTCAAGTCCCCACCAGAGGTGATGCCATAGCACAAAGCCAGAAGTTATCCCTGAGCTTGTATAGTAATTTAATTTTTGTTTTGGGGTCACAACCAGTAGTTCTCAGAGCTTACTTCTGGCTCTGTGCTCAGGAATTATTCCTGGCAGCACTCAGGGGATCATAAGGGGTGCCATAAGGGATCAAATTAAAATTGGCCACTTATAGGCAAGAATCTAAACCCTTGTACTCTGTCTCCAACTCATAATTATTGATGAACATGTGGTGATTTGACTGAAAATACATTAAATTTATAGATTAGTTGACAACTTATAATATCCAACTTCCAATTTAGGATCATATTTTTCAACACATCCTTTTATTAAAAACCTCATCTGATGTTTTTCATAAGTTCTTGTACACACTCCATCAATCTACCAGACGCTGAGTTCCTAACAACTGTTCTGTGGAGAAAGGCTTGAGGAACCTCACATGCTCTGGAATTCCCACTCTGATGGCAGAACTGGAGAGGGCAGATTTCACCTCAAAGATCTCACCGTTCCTGGAATTCAGATTTTGCTTTAATAAGGAATTGAGCCAAACTGAAGTTCAAATTCCTTTCACACTTATTTCAACACCTCTTCACATCATTTGCTGAATTTCCTGCCTGACTTTTAATCCTTGTTTTCTACTATTTTCTCCTACCTCAAGAGGAAACCTGAACTCCTATATGTTGTAACTTTGTTCTTTCTCATTAATGAGAAACATACCTTGATAAGTTTAGACCTTGGATATACTCACTATAACTTCTCTATCCATTTTGAATTCTCCTTGCTCCATTTCAAGCCAGTGATAAGAGAGTTCACAAACCCCATATAAAAACATTACCTAACTGGCTCTACAAGGCCCAGATTCTTCTTTTGTGGAACAGCTTCATTGCAAACTTAATAATCATAACTAAGACTCAGAAATGATTAGTATCATATGTTAAATATTTTTCTCCCCAAGAGTCGTAAAATTTGATGGTGTTATATAATATAGAAAATGACAACTTTCCCGTAGAAAAGCAAAAAATGAAACAATTGAGTTCCAGGCATTACTAAGGAGTGAAGAAAAATGTAAAATAAACTTTCAGCGTTTACTTTTCAGGGGGTAGGGTTTACTCCTGGCTCGGCTGCTCAGAGATCTGGCTGGGCTCAGGGGACCATATGTAGGGCTAGGAATTGAACCTGGATTGGCGGCATGCAAGGCAAGCGCTCTACTCACTGATTCTGCCTCTATCCCCTTTTACTTATTTTTAACACGATCTTCCAGTTTCACTTTGGGGCCACTCTCAGGTGTTCAGGGGCCACTGCTAGTTTTGTGCTTGGTCCACTGAACCTTTTCTCCAGTCTTTCATTTTTATAAACTATCTTTGGGGGGGTGGGGGTGGGGGTGGGGCCAAAGAGATGTTTCAATGGGCTGAGTATATCCCTTGCATGCTCAAAGGCTGGGTTCAAACTCTGGCAACACATACGTTCCTCCACGTGCTGACAGTATTTTGGCTTTGGGCCAAAATGACAATGGTCAGGTCTTATTTCTGACTCTGGGCTCAGGAATTACTCCTGATGGTGCGTGGGAGTGCCGGGGATCAAACCAGGGTCAGCTGCTTCCAAGGCAAGTGCCCTACCTCTACACTATCACTCTGGCCCCCACAACTCACTGGGAACAATGAATCAAAAGGTTTGAGTGCATATTTTACATACAGGAGCCCCCTGGTTCAATCCCTGGCACCACATGGTCACCACCCCCAGAACTGAGAAAGTAATAGTGGAGCACTGTGGCATGAGCAACCCCTAAGCATTGCCAGCTGTGTTCCACTTCCCCCAAAACCAAAAATGGAACTGAACAGTTGAAAGTCATCCTCAAGGCCCCTCGGCTTTTTAATAAATTCTAACAGGAACTCCAAAGAGTCCTTAATAGCTATTACTGAAAACTTTCGACAGGTCATATTTCAGACCTTTTAAAATTGCACATAAGGGGTCCAGAGCGATAGTATAGCGGGTAGGGTGTTTGCCTTGCATGCAAACAAACCCCCGGCATCCCATATGGTCCCCCAAGCACCGTCAAGAGTAATTCTTGAGTGCAAAGCCAGGAGTAACCCCTTTGCATCGCTGGGTGCAACCAAAAAAGCGAAAAATAGTAATAACAAATAAAATTACATATAACTTAAAAACTTTGATAGAGGCTAAAGATGTGGGTCAAAGGTATACCTCCTGCTTTGCTGGTGTAGGACTCTAGGGTTCAATCGTAAGCACCACATTAAAAAAAATCTTTATTTTAATAATCTTTATTTACTCACTGATAAATAATTCCCCTGCCCTATCATTTTTTTTTTTTGGACTCTCCAGTACTGCTCAGGGTAAGGTTTGGGGGATTAATTCTGATACCTGGCTGGATGGTACAATGGTACAATGCTTGGGTCCTCCAGTGCTTGAGGACCTCTTGATTTACTGTCAAGTGTGCGGGGGCCATGCAGTACTGGGGAGCACAGCCCCTTTTGTGATGCATACATTTGGCTGCAGTGTGGCAGGAAATGGGAGAGAGCAGAGATATGAGGGTCAAACATCAGAGCCGCCAGAACCCACCCTCAGAACATGTGGGACACCACGGATTTGACCTCACAACCACATGCTTACAAGGCTGTGGCACTCTAAGCTCTGGCCCTAAAATCATCTTTGTGAATTCATATTTATAAGCAGATGGAAACAATCAGTAAACGATAAACCCAACAGACAACTGAAGAACAAGTAATTTATTTTGGTAACAAAAACTGCAGTAGCAGGCAACTGACGGAAGTTATTTCCTCAATAAGATAAGCACATACCATTAGAGTAACAAGTCTTTTCCTATACACAGAACAAAGTTCTTAGTTACATGTCACTGGGTTCCACATGTTACTGGGTGTCAACTCCACTTAAACAAGAAGCACAGGAACAGGGTTAGAATCTGTGTCAGTATAAAAGCATGTGACAGAAATCTGATACACTTGAAGGCCCTCAAGGTGGTCCTTGTTTCTCATGAATCTTCCTGAAACAATGCTCCTAGAAACATTTCTTCCTCTTAGAGCTCTCCAATCAGGTTCCCTGCTCCAGGTCAGGCGGTAGAAGGCTAATGGTTCTCTACTCAGGTAATTACTTTGATGAGTTCAATCTTCGAGCAAGTAATTAGGGTTGACCACCAAGAAGGGATCTTCTTCATAGCTTTCACTGCCTTCTGAGGAGCCTCTCAGTCCCGCCTGGGTGAGCTCAATCAGAACATGATCCTGTGAAACACAGATATTTGTCCCACAGTCTTTATCAGAACAGAAACACCCAGAGAATACAAGATGTGAATCGTAAAGGTTGGCTAAGATTTTTCTTTAATTTCCCCTCTAAGAATTTCTAGAAAAAGAATAAAACCTTGGGGCTGGAGCGATAGTACAGCGGGTAGGGCATTTGCCTTGCACGTGGCCGACCCGGGTTCGATCCCCGGCATCCCACATGGTCCCCCAAGCACCGCCAGGAGTAATTCCTGAGTGCAGAGCCAAGAGTAACCCCTGAGCATCGCTGGGTGTGACCCAAAAAGAAAAAAAAAAAACAATAAAATCATGGTTCTGTAAATCCCCCTTCTATTACCATATTCAACTATTCTTATTGTGCATATTCATAAACCTTAAATTTTTATTATTATTATTATTATTATTTCTTTTTGGGTCAAACCCGGCAATGCTCAGGGGATAATCCGGGTTTTGCACTCAGGAATTACTTCTGGCGGTGCTCGGAGGACCATATGGGATGCTGGGAATCGAACCCGGGTCAGCCGCATGCAAGGCGAATGCCCTACCCACTGTACTATTGCTCCAGTCCCAATTTTTATTTATTTTTAAATGTAGGAGTAGAGCTATTTATTCAGCCGCTGATTACGCTGACTGAATCAGGCATGAACTCCAAATCATAAACCTTCTAAATTAAAAAAAAAAAAATTAAAGAGAAAGACACTATAGTGGGTAGGAGTGTTTGCCTTGCATGTGGCCAACACGGGTTTGATACCCAGCATCCCATATGGTCTTCCAAGTCCACCAGGAGTGATTCCTGACTGTAGAGCCAGAAGTAACCCCTAAGCACCACTTGGTGTGTCCCATCTTTTTAGATAATAAAATTTAAAATATTTAAGGTAGCTGGAGCAACAGTACAGCAGATATGGTGCTTGTTTGTATGTGGCCGAACTGGGTTAGATCCCTGGCACCCCATGTGGTCCCAAGTCCATCAGGAATGACCCGGGAGAAGAGCCAGGAGTAAGACCTACGTACAGGTAGGTGTGGCTCAAAAATAAATTAAGCTCAACAGACAATATAATTTTAAGTCCTTTTTTGGGGAGGAGGCATACCCAATGGTACTCAAGGGCTCACAGGATATCAAGAATCATAACCTGTGCTCCAAACCTTTATCCTGTTGGTCTTAGACACCTGGATTTAATAGGGCTTCCTGGCATGATTTCACATGATTTCAGGTGATTTCAAATACAATTCAGAAATTAAAAGCAGGGGTGGGGTGTCCCTGGACTTTACACAAGGGAGGCCTAGGTTTGATTTCTGGCACCACATGCCCCCCACCCCCACAACACTGCCAGGAGCGGCCCTGAACATCGAGCTGGAAAAGCCAACAAGAACTGCTATTCCAGGCAGGTCACAGACCAGGTACTGTCAGGAATTGAGTTAGGGATCCCACATGCCACAGGAACTGTTTGGAACATATTAAATCTGCTATCGCTATAGCCAAGTAGGCAGCCGGCAGCATATTCTTGAGTTTAGAGTCGAGGTGAGAGCTGGAGAGAAAAATCTTGGAGTCATCAGCAGATAAGGTTTAAACTAATAAAAGCAAATCCGGTCTCTTAGTGAGGGACACGGAGAAGGGGTCCAAGGACTGAGCACAGCACTTCATTTAACAAGAGGGCTGGAGAGTGCAGCAGGGAAGGCATCTGCCTGGCACACAGCCAACCCAGGTTTAATTCCCAGCACCACACAGGATGCCTTGAGCACCACTAGGGAGAGCCCTGAGCGCAACAGATTGTTGCCCAAAGACCCATCAGTCAAAAGTAAGAGAGGGATTAAGTGGGGTTAAGGTGCTGACTTTACAAGACAAGCTGTCAGTTTGATCCCCGGCATCACACATACAGTCTCCCAAACACTGCCAGCAATCACTTCTGAGCAGGGAGCTAGGAATAGCTCCTGAGGATGCGGGGTATGGTTTAAAAACCCAGCCAACAAAAGCACTCAAATGATAAGAAGCCTAAGTCCATCTTTCCAAATTGAGTTCTGCTTGTTTTAGCAGACAAAACCAATCATTTGCCCAATATTCTCCTTAGTTTTTCAACTCATAATTCTGACTACATCCCAATGAATTAAAATTAATGAGCTGATAATCCCATATGGCTGTAAGGCACGGACTCCCTCCCTCATTAGTACCCCAAGCAAGAGCAGTGCGGTACGTACGTAGTGGATGAGTCGATGGATGACCTTCTCTATGATTCTCTTTTTATTTATAAGCTCCTCTTCAGAATCTATTTCTGACTCAATTTCCTTCAAGTACCAATTAACGAGCTCACTCCTCTTTAAAGCGCAGTCATCGTCTTCTGTAAGGAAAAATACATTTAAGAAAGGATGTAGTTGGGGCTGGAGCCAACAGCCCTGAGGAGAGAGGGCTTGTGTTGCACATGGACGTGTTTGATCACCAGCATCGCATGTAGTCTCTGAAACACTGCCAGGTGTGATCCCTGAGTGCAGGCCTAGAAATAAGTCTGAGCATTGCAAGCTGTGACCCAAAACCAAGAAAAAAAAAAAAAGGATTAAGTGGGGCTGGAGCAATAGCACAGCAGGTAGGGCGTTAGCCTTGTACGCGGCCAACCCAGGTTCGATTCCCAGCATCCCGTATGGTCCTCCGAGCACTGCCAGGCGTAATTCCTGAGTACATGAGCCAGGAGTGAGGCGTGACCCCGCTCCCCCCCCGCCAAAAAAAAAGGATTTAGTTATCCTCCTAGCAAACTATACCAGGAAACAGGAAACCTGGGAGTCTGCAGGCACAAGATAATGTAGAAAGAAACTAGATAATCGTCAACTTGTCAGAGAGAACACCTGTTGAAATAAGTTCTGCAATGTTTTACCTGCAAGCCTGAAATAACCTGTCATAATACTTGCATTAGACCATGCCTTACCTTACCCTGAGGAAAAAATTCCTACAGCGATTATAAGACGAGCTTCTTAAAGATAATAATATATCTAAGTATGGGCTGCAGAGGCAGTACAGGCGTGAAGGCACTTGCCTTACATGTGGCCAACCCCAGAGTAAGCTCTGAGGACCACTAGGTGTGGCTGAACCCCCACCCCAAGATCTCTACATATAAAGATACTTCCTTTATTTTATGCTTCATCACCTATGAGAATGTCTGCCAGCAGCCACTGAAAGTTCGTATTAAGAATAAAGCAAAATGCCGGAGATCTCTCCGGACCCCGGCCTGAGCCAATTCCAACAGGACATCTCAGATGGAGCATCTGTGCCCTCCCCGCCCGCTCCAGATGAAACCCAAGCAACCATGAGCTTCCAGAAGCAAAACCCAGGTACGCAGGTTCCAGGACTAAGACTCCAGATCTCGTGATGGTAGCGGAGACAGGCCATCCCCTTCCCGCCTCCCCGCCACTGGGGCTCCTGGCTGGGATGGCCATGATCTGCGTCCGGGCGCCATCTCGGTGCATCAACAGCCTTTATCCAGAGACTTCCAAATGAATCTCCAAATGGATTAGCTCTTTACAGAGATGTCTCTGGACCCCAACCAGTTACAATTTTAGAATTCCAGAAGCACGTGGCTGCTTTCTCAGTCACTTGACCTTTCATGATACTCATAATAAGCAACAGAAAATAAATTATCTAGCATCTGCCCCTGGCAGGCAGCCTTTAATAGTGGTGGAAATATTCGAGCAAACCATAATGCCCAAAAGTAGAGAGAGAGTATTGGGGAAATTGTATGCCAGAGAGGTAGGGGGAAGGCTTGGATTGGGGTGGATACTGGGGACATTGGTGGTAGAAAATGTGCCTGGTGGAGGGATGGGTGTTCGATCATTGTATGACTGAAACTCAAACATGAAAGTTTTGTAACTGTATCTCACAGTGATTCAAAAAATTCTCTCAAAACAAACAACAAAAAACCAAAAACTGTCCTCCCGATGTTCATTGATTTGCTCGAGCAGGCCCAGTAACGTCTCCATTTTGAGACTTGTTACTGTGTTTGGCATATTGACTACGTCACGGGTAGCTTGCGAGGCTTTGCCGTGCGGGCGAGATACTCTCGGTAGCTTGCAAAGCCTGGCAAGCTACAATATGCCAAACACAGTAACAAGTCTCTCAAAACAAAACAAAAAGGAATAAAGCAAGCAAGACTTGTTAAGCATTTTTTCTCTTTGCAAGGGGAAAGAATTTAAAGAATTAGTCAACAACAAAGTCAAATCCACTAGCATTCACTCAAAAATTATCAGTTTAGGAGCCATGAGATAGTATAGCAGGTAAAGCAGTTAGCCTATATAAGGCCAACCCCTGTTTAATTCCCAGCACCCCATCTGGTCCCCCAAGCATTGCCTGGAGTAATTCCTGAGTGCAGAGCCAGAAATAAGCCCTGAGCACTGCTTGGTAACATAATGCACCGAAAGAGCACCCAACAATCAGTTTATTCCAGTATGGTCTATCCATACCAACTGAAATATCGGCTGTATAAGAGTCCAAATGAGGGGCCAGAGCAATAGCACAGAGGGTAGGGGTTTTGCCTTGCTTTTGGCCATCCCAGGTTCAATCTCTGGAATCCCATATGGTCCCCCCAAGCACTGTCAGGAGTAATTCCTGAGTGCGGAGCCAGGAACAACACTGAGTGCCACGGGATGTGACGAAAAACACCGAAGGGAATGAAAAAAAAGTTCAAATGAATTCACAAAAAATTTTCAATATGGATATTATAACTAAAGGTAAAAGGTTAAGGTAAAGGGCCTCCCGTTGATCATCGATTTGCTCGAGCGGGCCCAGTAACGTCTCCATTGGAGACTTTGTTGTTACTGTGTCTGGCATATCGAATACTCTCGGTAGCTTGCCGGGCTCTCCGAGAGGGGCGGAGGAATCGAACTCGGGTCGGCCATGTTGGCCGCTTGTAAGGCGAACGCCCTACCCGCTGTGCTATCGCTCCAGCCCCATGGATATTATAACTAGCAAAAAATTAAATATATTTAATCTTGATTCTAGCAGATGTCAATAAAATATAAACTCTAAATAAGAAAATTCTAGCACTGGCGATGAGAATGCTTTTGAAAACTCTTTCACTTTCGAACACTCACATCTACCCTACCCCCAGTGTTGTTAGGATGCTTGGGAGCACATGTGCGCTCTAGAGTCGCTGTGGTACACAGAAGTTCACACTGCATCAGCATCGCACTGCTGTGGGAATGGGTTAACTGGTGCATGCCTGAGGCTCTGGGGACTAAATGCCTGCAGAGGTGCTTTCTGCCACTGAGCCATTTGTGGACCTTTTCTTTCCTCTTTTCTTTTCCCCCTCCATTCTTTCTTTTGTTTCTTTTTGTTCCTAGTAGAATCAATCTGCAGAATGCAAAAGCCAAATTTCCAAGGAAAAAAATAGAGCCACAATTATAGGGCCCTATATTTACTAGACTAAGATAATCTCTGTTTTCTTCTGATGAGATTGTGTCAGGAAACCTGCATGTTGGAACTGGTTCAAATAGCAATTGTCTGATGGTTTACCACCAAATTGAAGCTTAACATTCAACATGAGCTAATCATATTTTATTCTGCAGTTACTAACTATAAACTGTAAAACTTAAAGTAGCTTGGAAAAGCAGCTAAAGGTAGGCAAATTGGTGATCAGATAAACATTTTCCCCATGGAGAAATCAAAACCTGACTCAATCTTAAACTTAACTCATTCCTAAAATGGAATGTACTTGTACTAATATAGCCTTCTGAGTTCAACTGACTATGAAATATGAGGCACTCTGTCTTAAAACCATTAACATTATTTGTCAAATGCTCTCATAAGCTATAATGTAATATACTATCCTAAACACCTCTTCAAGGGACAGTAATCTCTGACTCTTACATTTGTACGAAAATGTCCAGTCTGCTAATTACACTGACTCCAAAATTCATCTTAATTCATCAACTGCTCTGACAAAACAACACATTTAAAAAAAAAAAAAACACAATTATAAGAAACCAGAAATTGACCATAAGAATATACCTGGTGTCAGAAACAGAAGGATAGACATAGAAAGATTGCATTCATCTGGGGAACATAAAGTAACAAAATAGGAGACTAACACCCAAGAGTGGCTGAGACTAGTACCAGGAGGTTTGCTCCATGGCTTGGAGGCCAGCCACACATGCTAGGAGAAAAGGGAGCTCAGATAGAGAAGGGAGCACCAAATAAAGGGTGTTGGGAGGATCCTCCCAGGATGGGAGAAGCATGCTGAAAGCAGACTATAGACCAAACATGATTGCCACTCAATGCCTTTTTGGCAAACCACAACACCCAAAAGGAGAGAGAGAACAAGGGAATGTCCTGCCACAGAGTCAGGGTGGGATGGGGGGGGGATGGGGGGTGGGAGGGATACTGGGACCCGTGGTGGTGGAAAATGGGCATTGGTGGAGGAATGGGTATTTGATCATTGTATAATTGAAATCCAAGCACAAAAATTTCTAAGTCTACAACTGTACCTCATAGTATTTCACTAATAAAAATTAAAAAAAAATCCATGGGGGAAAAAAAAAGAATATAATTGGTGTAAATGACTAAGGGCATGAAGAGTACTAGGAACAACAAACCTTCTTCCATTTTCCTGAGGTGAAGCACGATAAGGTTAGAGATCCGGCAGTATTCAGCAAAGCCCAGCTTCAAGGAAGCCTTCGGAACAGAATCTGCATTAACGTCTTCACTGTGGCCATTGATTCCATTTACAGGAGGAGGGCTTTCAGCATGACCTAGGTGAAATATTAACCATCTGAATTGTATTTTTATGTTTTCAATACTTCTCTATCAAATGTTTACATATATAACCACATTTTAATACTGATTCCAAAGCAGAAATAGTTAAACTCAACATTTATTTATTTATACAAAAACTAAAGATTAGAAATGCTATTAGTGAAGACAAAAGCTAATTCAGAAGGGGAAGATATAGGGTTTATGATCTGAAATTACACCTTCAAACATTCCACAGTCTTCTCCATGTAAACCCATCCATGGGCCCAGTTTTACAGATTCAAGATATAAATCTCTGAGGAGATGCAACCCAAGCTGCTAAAATTCACAGGTACACTCATTTCTTGGCTAAAAAGTCTGGGGCACTGTGGGGTGAGAGGTGGGCCAAACCCCACCCTGCGGAAATCCCTGGCAGCTGCACCCCCACCCAACAGCTGCCACCATGCCAACGGCCTGCTTCAGGATTCATCTCTGCAGAGATGAAAATTTCAGGCACATAAGCTTTTTTTTTTTTCTTTTTGGGTCACACTGGCGATGCACAGGGTTACTCCTGGCTCATGTACTCAGGAATCACTCCTGGCGGTGCTTGGGGGACCATATGGGATGCTGGGAATCGAACCCGGGTCTGCTGCATGCAAGGCAAACGCCCTACCTGCTGTGCTATCGCTCCAGCCCAGGCACATAAGTTTTGAGGCTGAGAATTCAGGGGTCTTCTCAGGGTGGGGGCAGGCAGCCTCCCCCAGGCCTCCCATACTTCGGAAGCCCCAGCAGCCACACCCACACCCCACAGCTGCTGCCTTGTAAACTCATCCATCCAGTTCTGCAGACCCTCTGGTTTCTGGAGTTTGTGACCACACACAAGGCCACCAACACCTCCAAATTCCACGATACCGACATCTCAGTAGAAGCACACCAAAATCAGATGAAAGAGTATCATAGAAGTCAATAAACAAAAACAGCAACACAGAAGAAGCTCAAATAGCATTAACAAATAAACCCTCAGGTAAGAACATAAGCCGATGGTAAGATCTAACACTTTTAACAAATTTTCTTTTACTCTAGTATTTTTTAAGTCCATTAACCACTTACTTGTAATAATCAATATAAAACAAATGATTTTGGGCCTAAGGGGGTAGGCTTGGAAGGACAGATGAGAAAATGGAAGCATGAAGGAGGGAAAGTCATACTGGCGATGGAACTGATGTTAAACCACAGAGTGCCTGTAATTGTGCTCAGAACAACTTTGTAAAACATGGTCTTTTAAAAAAGTGAAAAAAAAATTATATTTGCAGTACAATATATAAATTTTGAATTTGTTATACTTAAGTACTATGTGTAATTTGAAATGAAGACGACTAGGGGCATTAAACGTAGTCATAATTCTGCCTTTCTTCCAATATTTCACATATATTTTGTATTAACTGTTTGTTTTTAGCTAGTAAACACACAATTTGGTTACTTACTATTCCCCTTCTGCTACATAGTCTTTATAATCATCAATAAGTCTACTTAAACATACTGAAACATAATTTTGGTCTCTAACTCGAGAACAGACTTAAGAACAAGCAACTCACCATTGACTCCATCTGGGCCTTCATCTACTTCCATCTGGGCTTCTTCTTCCTGATCGAGATTGACATCTGGTGTTTCCACACGGATGATGGATTTATTCAGTAGCCTGAAGGCTTCCTTCACATGTTTAGGTTGGACCTAAATCAATCAATATGAAGTAAATCAAGAGGGTAATTTTCTCAAACTTTCACACACACACACACACACACACCACACCATAAATCCAAGAACAATTTTATTCACCCTGTGTTGAAAGGAAAGCCATGGTTTGGGTCATAAATTGGGGAAACGTAAAAATTCCACTCGTAGATCTATACTCACAAAAATGTATATAGCACACATATAGCATGCACGCATGCACACACACAAAAACATGTACAGCAGATGAACAAAAAATATGTAATTACATGCGTATATACACACACACACACACAGCATGAAATCCAAATTGAAAATCACTCAAAAATCCATTAACAGAAGAAAAGGTCAACCACTGTGTGACAGCCCTTGAAATAGTAACAGCAATAAGTATGGAAAAACTACTCCCACACGAAACTAGAATGTCATGTTTAAAAAGGAGAAAAATCAAAACTAAAACAAATGTGGTCAGAGTGACAGAACATGATGTCAATGGTGTATGGTCTGAACTTACAAAAATGACCGAGCTAACACAAATCAAAGACAGCGGTGAGAGCGCAGGGCTAAGAGGCACTTGTGCAAGGACCTAAGTTTGATCCCTGGCACTGAGTGGCCCAAGGGCCCAAGGTTCATTGTACTGCCAGGCTCAGAAGGCCACTACCACTAGGAGGCGCCCTCCCTCCCCACCGACATACACATCAGAAAAGAAAGGTGAGAGCATGGAAAAGGAAACCGGGAAAAGCCAGAGAGAAAAGCGAAAAAAATCAAAGGACAAGCACATTTAATTGTGAAAGTCGGAAGCACATGGTTGCAAGGAAGCGGGGGAGGAGAGAAGATGAAAACATGCATGCGATTTTTATCGGTTTTTATTAGGGAACCAGTAGAAAAATGAAGAAAAATGCAGTATACTGTAAGAATACAATCACAATAATGAAAGTGACCTCTGACATATCTATCACACGCTTTCTGAACATCCGAAGTGCACAAAAAAAAAGAGAATACATGATATTTTTTGTTTTTCAAAAAGCAGCCTTTCAACCATAAAAAAGAGAAAGTAACTGGGTCTGAGTGATGGTATGAGTAGGGAACTTGCCTGGCACATGCTGACCCGGGTTCAATCTCCGGGACCACATATGGTCCCTCAAGCAACCTCCAGGAATGATTACTGAGTGCAGAACCAGGAGGAACCCTGAACATCGCCAGGTGCACCATTCCCCCCCGCCCTCCCCCCAAAAAGAGAAAGTGAAATAAACAAAAGCTAGATCTCATACCACTAAACTTGAGTTTAGCATTGTTATTAAACAGGTTTTTCCCAGGGTCTGGGATGTGGCTCAGCAGTGGAGTGACTGCCTGCCTGCCTTGTAGGCACGATGCAGTGACCTCAATCCTCAGCACTACCCACAGGGAATGCGTGATATAGTCCAGTCAAGTCGATGTGAAGGTCACAAGCAAGTGTGCACCTGTCAGTGAGAACTGCAACCAGTGGACAAGAACCAAAAGCTTTTCCACTTGGATCACAAAAACCTACCACGGTGTGTGTAAAACACTCAAACCAATTCAGAAGTTCCAAAAAGTACAACTCAGGCAAAGACAGACACATTACAGAGTAGAAAGTATAAAGACAAATAAGGGCACATGGCTTAGAAGAAAGTGAGGAGAACTGGCCATAGAGGTTCTGAATTGGTCCCAAAATAAAATCTCCTTTTCTTTGGCTACAGAATCCCTGCAGTTTCCTGCCCACATATATAGCCCCAGTAGGACAACGAGAAAGGACCACGGGAGCTGCCAGTAAGAACCAGAGCTACTCACCAAAACAAACCAACAGAACTTTAGGGTTCTATTACTTGCAAGTAAAAATGGCTATCTGGAAAATCAAGAGATTCAACTGAAAAGCTACTACATGTGCAAAGTACAGAGGGCCTTTTTTTTTTTTTTTTTTTTTTTTTGCTTTTTGGGTCACACCTGGTGATGCACAGGAATTACTCCTGGCTCTGCACTCAGGCGGTGCTCAGGGGACCATATTGGATGCTGGGAATCGAACCCGCGTCGGCTGCGTGCAAGGCAGACGCCCTACCCGCTGTGCTATTTCTCCGGCCCAATACAGAGGGTTTAAACATATTTTCTGAATGAATGGCATGAATGTAACTTATGTCTTCATATACACTATAATCTATGACATGATTATAATCTATGACATCACCTTACTATTCGTACAAATGTTACTATGGAAGCAGGGGCTGGGGGACAGCACAAGAGAGCTAGCTGAATAATTTAATTGTTCACTTAAAATCCTGTCCTCAGAAAAGGTTAATGGAAAAGGAAAATGAATAATGGGATAGCTGGGGGGTGGGAGACAGAGATAAATGGAAGCCCTCAAGCTAGACAAACTGTTTGCCCCCCTCACTGAGGCCTAGATGGATGGTAGGACACAGCAGAGGTTCTCAGCCATGTGCAGGAAGCTGGGACCAGAGACCAAGGAAAGCCAAGGCAAGCCCAGGGGACAGAGTCACTGGGTGAGGCTTAGAAACAGATTCCAAAGCAGTAAGCCCCAACGAAGAGAAACAGATTCCAGCTGCAGATTTCAGACTAGGAATTTGTATTCCTGGAAAAGTCAAGAGAGAGTGGACAGAGAATGGCATTACGACAAGACCAAGTCATAGAGCACTGGAAGCCAGCAGATGGCACCGGGACAGGACCAAGACGCTGTAATCTGGGCCGGGCATCGAGGCACAGGATGAACGGCATTGTACCTGGGCCACATGGGAGGCTCCAGACCTGTCTACTAAAACGCATGACAAACCTTTTTTTTTTTCCCCAATTAAATATCATCTTATTTTTACTAACCATGGATAATTTTACTGGGTTTTGAGAGGGTACTGACAACTTTCTCTGCGTGTGTATTGTGTCTTGTATGTAAATATACACACACACATATATATATATGTAGGTATATCATTGTGATTTACAAAGTTGCTCATAAAATTTCAGGCATAAAATGTTATTATACCAGTTTCCACTACCAATGCAAATGGCTTTTCACTAATCTACTAAAAAATATTCCTCCAACCCTCAGTCTGCCTCATTGGGGGAATATTCTTAAGTTAGTTATTAAAGCTTTAGTGTCCTTGCAGTGTTGGCTCTGTGGCCACACAACAAACTATGACTTACTAAGCATCTGAGCTTTGAATGCAATATTCAAGACCCCCCCCCATAGGAATAAATCCACTTTTGCAGTAATGTAAGTACTAGATAAGTGCTCAGCAGAAACTTGATTATCTAAAGACCTGCAACGAGCCCTAGTAATTCCCAAGCTCAAGACAGAAACATACTTCAAAGCCAACACATCCCTTTCTCTGTGCCCCACTAGCTCCGGCGACTTCAGTACCTCGTCACAGCAGTGCATCCGAGCCATGGCTTCAGAGAGACGAATCATGCTCTCAAGCTGCCTTACGGTGATCCGCCACGAGGACTTGGTCACACCAGAACCATCCCTCTGGCGGAGACGTTTATACTGCTCCACAATGAAGTCCTCAGACTCTTTAGAAATCTGTGTCAGAACACCAGGGAAGTCAGAACATTTCTATCTGACGAGAGCTGGATTAAACGTAAGTTTTAGAGCCTTCTGGGTTCGATTCCTACCAGCACATAGTTCCCCGAGTACTCTCCTGGATGTCACCAGAATCCACCAGTGGGGTCCCAAGGCCTCCTGAGCAATGCTTAGGAAAACACATTTCCTTCTCCCAAGATGCTACCCTTTTTCTTTTCTTAATCTGTTTTAGGAACATGCTACACAAAAACAGATATTTTAAATACACTAAAGGACCAAGGGATACCTCAATCACAGACCACCTTCCTTATAGAGAAGAGATAAGTCTAATCTTAGTAGCACTGTCATTTGTGAAAACAGTAACATAAAACACAGAAATGCAATGCCACCAAATTGTATGCAGACCCCCTCCCGTCATCACAACAAAATGAAGGGAAGGGGAAAAACAAAAGCCCAAGTACATCCTTTATCCAGCAGCCAACCCAATGATCTGCATCAATCACTATATATGGAATCATTCAGATTAAAAAGAATCTTTGAATTTCTCTGAAGAACAACAAAAACTCAGCTCAAAGAACAACCCCCTTACAGGTAATTTACTCATAATTCTTTTATTTCATTGTCACTTTACTATATCCTTGATTCCCTTTCCAGTACAAAGGACATGTTGCCTTACCTTAGGTTTAAACTGTCTTGCAAAAAGAAGATACCTCCTGATATCATCCAGAGAATAGACACGATCAATGGAATCCTCGATCCTTGAATGCAGGTCTACTATACGCCTGGCAATAGCATAATCTGTAACCTAATTCAGAACAATACACATATTAGATTAAGTATATCATCTTCATATTACAGATGAGCAAACTGAGGTCCAGAGAGATTACTAAACATCAGTTAGTAATGAAATTGGTACTTGAATAATCTAGTTCAAGATCTCTTAGTTGCTAATCATATTTCTGTGTATTTATTAATATGTAAAGATTATCAGTTACAAACACTGCAAAAATATAATTACAGAAAAGAAACTGCAGCTAACAAATAGAACAAATGATAAAATAAATGTTGCAAATTAGTAATCTGTGAACTGAATAAAGGGTGTAAGGGTGTTAATAGGCAATTTCATTTCTTGCAACTTCTTGTAAATCTGATAAGATCTTAAATTAAAAAGTTTAAAACCAAAACATACACAAACAAAAATATACAACAATTATATAAATCCTAACTATTGGTGGGGATTCAGGACCTCCAAAAATTTACACAATGGAAACTAGCTTTAATGCTTTAAAGTCTCACTATAAACAAGTTGTATCTTGTTCTTAATGTAATGTTGGACCTCCACGTTCAGTAGCTAAAAGCAAAGCCTGAATATTTCCCTCCATAGAATATTTTGTGCACATAAAAACTCTACAATGCAGTTAAATATTTAAGCCTAAATGTAAATTATTTTCAGTAACTAATATGATGAATCCAAATAAATTTACATTATTTCACTTAATCTCAAAACTGCTACATAATTGGGGGTGCTGAGGGTGTTGTGCACATTCAACAACCTAAAGGGAGGAAGACAAATGACACAGGGAAAAAAAATATCTTTTGTTCTGTTTTTGGATCACACTTAGCAAAGCTCAGGGGACCACATGGGATGCCAGGGATCACACCAGGGCCGGCGTCGTGGAAAGCAAGTGGCCTACTGTATTATCTCTCCAGATTAGCAAAAGCAAACACCAAAAAAATATATATATATTTTTGGCTTTTGGGGTCACATTTGGTAATGCTCAGGAGTTGCTCCTGGTTCTGCACTCAGGAATCACTCCTGGCAGTGCTTGGGAACCATATGGGATGCTGGGGATCAGATCTGGGTTGGCCATGTGCAAGGCAGACACCCAACCCACTATGCTACTGGCTCCAGCATAACAAAAGAAATTCTTACAAAAATCTAAGAGAATGGCTGGGAATTAAGTTTTTAAGTTTCTGTTCTTCTACTGAGAATAAAATTCAGCTAACAACATCAAAACCTTTACTCTCTCAACGCAATTAGATGGAACCAGCAATTCAGTTGACTTTATTTTTAATAAACTCTGCTCAATACTGAGCGACTATGAAAGAAATAAAAGGTCAAAACAAACACACGCACCAGCTGTTCGGTACATCTTCCAACCACGACCCAATCAATTACCCCAGCTGGAAATAACAAGGGGAGCTCAGAGCAACAATTTATGTCATTACCTCGTTACATTCATCCACAAGTATAAAGAAGAGATCAAATCGGGACATAATGGGAGCTGACAGATTTATATTCTGTTTCAGTGATTTTGATCTGTCATAGTGTCCACTGACTGGATTCGCTGCTGCCAAAATAGATGTTCTGGCATTCAGGGTAGCCTGACAACGAAGAATCGATAGGTTTAAAAGGACACCTGAACTGAACAACAAACATGACAAAATACTCAGTTATCACTCATAATTAATTACATGCAAACAAAAACAGTAAGGTTTCATTTTCACCTACGGGATCGAGTCTGATATACTGCAAAGAGGCATTCCCACATGATGGTAACACAACAGATACACAGCTGTTTTGCTTTGGAGCCACACCTGACAGTGCTCAGGAGTGACCCCAGTATCTCAGCACCACGTGCAGTGTTAGGGATCAAACCAGGGCTGGTTTCATGCAAAGCAAATACCTTACCTCAGATACTTTCAACCTATACACAACATTTTTCTTGGTTTTTGGGTCACACCTGATGATGCTCTGGGGACCATATGGGATGTCAGGGATTGAACCCAGAACAGCCGTGTGTAAAGCAAGCGCCTTACCCACGGTACTGTCTCTCAACTTTTAAGTCAATAATTTCTCACCAATTTATCTTATAGCAGGTTCAAGATGTATATTCATAGGTGTTTACTATAGCACTGTCCTCCCATTGTTTATCGATTTGCTTGACCGGGAACCAGTAACGTCTCTACTCTGAGACCTGTTACTGTTTCTGGCATATCGAATACACGGGAAGCTTGTCAGGCTCTGCTGTGTGGGCGGGATATTTGGTAGCTTGCCGGGCTCTCCGAGAGGGACAAAGGAATTGAACCCAGGCTGGCCACGTGCAAGGCAAATGCCCTACCTGTGCTATCGCTCCAGCCCAGATGTTTGCTATAATATCTATGATTAAGAAAAGCTAGAAGTTACTCAAACGTCACTCTGAAAGAATTCAACAGATCACAAAACTGGAGTAAAAACCACTGAAAATCATGAAGGTAAAGGTAAAGGTAAAGGTAAAGGCCTTCCCTTTGATCGTCGATTTGCTCGAGCGGGCCCAGTAACGTCTCCATTGGAGACTTTGTTGTTACTGTGTCTGGCATATCGAATACTCTCGGTAGCTTGCCGGGCTCTCCGAGAGGGGCGGAGGAATCGAACTCGGGTCGGCCATGTTGGCCGCTTGTAAGGCGAACGCCCACCGCTGTGCTATCGCTCCAGCCATTTCAAAAAGTGGATCCCAAGTATGCTAGTGTAGAAGCAGTGCCAAAATAAAATTAAATGATACGTATATATTACACTTATACATAAAACATTCCTCAAAGAGGCAGAAACTCAGCAAACCTGAGAACCAATGAGCTGTGTGATAGGAAACGTAGCTTTTAAATTTGTATTCTAGTGTGCTGCTTAAATTTTCCTGAATAAAAAAAGGACTACTTTTACTCCAAGTTCCCGACAGTTTGGGTTAATAAGTCATTCTGGCTGGGGCCAGAGTTGTAGTAGAAAGGGTCGGGTATTTACCTTGCTACAGGTGGCCAATCTAGGGAACAGCAGCAGCAACGAAACCCCAAAACCCACACAGGCTTGTTTTCTATTTCACTTAGGAGTATTAAATGTATTTTATCCAGATGCGTATCTCTAGTGTTAACATTAATCTACCACCCTCTTCTCCCCCCAGTGATCTTCTAAAATACAAACTGCCAACAAGCTGCCAGGCTAAAATGCTGTAGTGGACAGACGCACATACCTTCACTCCTGCTTTAGTGATGGAGATTGTCTGCTGTTCCATGGCTTCATGAATAGCAACCTGATCCCGCACGTCCATTTTATCAAACTCGTCTATGCAACACACACCCTGTAATCAAATAAAGCTAACGTCAGCTCTCTCAGATGTCAAATGGCAAGGAATCTCCAAGTCTGAGAAGATCACTTTGGGTTCTCAAGTGTCAGAGAATACGCAATCCCAGTAACTTCAATTCCAGTAAGACAGCTCTCAACAGATCCTAGAGCTAGAAGGATCCATATGCTGATTAGCTTTAAACATCTTTGAGAAAGAGACCAAAGACAGTTACTTTCTTCATCTTTCACTCAACAATAAAACCCTATATAGCATTAGTGTAAATATTCTGGGTCGTACGCAATGATTTTAGGCCGGGAAAGTTAGAGCATAGTATTTATTAGCGTATCTACCTAAACACATATGCATTCATAAAGCTAAGTAATCAATGCCAAATACATGTTAAATGCAACATTCATGATTGAGACTCACCCATGACAAAACACACAAACACATATCGCTCCACAATCCCCCCTCCCTCAGTTACTTTCTAAAGTAAAAACCCATATGAACAGGGGAGGGACGTATGCCAGTTCCCTTATAACCAAGAATATGAAATATTCTTACATTATCAGCCAGCATCAAAGCTCCAGCTTCAATGACAAACTCATGAGATTCCTCGTCTCTCACAACAGCTGCTGTCAAACCAGCAGCACTGGATGCTTTGCCACTGGTGTAGACAGCTCTAGGGCTGAACTCCTCCACATGCCTGTTCAAAGTTGATCATTATTAATACATGACTACGAAGCCTCCTGTCCGGGTATATTCAGCTGATAAGGTTTATGGCAATTAAGAGTTTATTTGATAATGGTCAAGAGAAGCAATAGGTATGAGCAAATTCACAAACATGCCACGAACCAACCGCAAACTCTTATGTCCTTTGAGTTCTTAAATACGTAACTCCATTATGGCTTGATTTACCCCAAGGAAAATATATAATTTGTGTCTTCCATGGCTTATACAAAGACTAGCAGATCTCTGTGTGGGCCCAGAGGAATAACTAGGGCTTGGAACCCTTGCCTCGCGTCAGTGAGGCTGCAAGTTCCATCTCTTGTACTACCACAGCTGGTGTGAGTGATTCTGGCAGCTCTGCGGCCAGGCATGTGCGAGCACACACACTAAACAAGGATGTGAATCCTGGCAAGCATCACAACTGAAGATGTGCCAGTCAGACAGCCAGGTGAGCCCTTGTGAGCACAAGTAGGAGTGTGATCCCCCATGAACACATATGGAAGTACCATAACTGAAGGGGGGCAACTCTCAGTGAGAACCACAGCTGAATGTGTAACCCCCACCCCACACGCCCATTACGGCAACGTTATCAACATCAACAAGTGGGGGAAGGGGGAAAAAAAGCAACAACAAAGAAGGAGAGGGATTGGGGGTGGGCACTAAAATCTGAAGCTCTAACGTATTGTTTTTCCTAGTGCTCCACTCACTAGCAAGCACTTACTTGAGGAACTGACTCTTGGCAGTACTTGGGTCACCAACAATACAAACATTTATGTCACCTCGAAGAGAGGTTCCTTCCCCCGTTGTCTTTGGAACACCACCGAAAAGCATAAGCAGAACACCCCGTTTTACTTCATCATTGCCTGAAAGGAAAACACCAGGTGTTTTTCTATGCGAGGTTACGTGACCGCACAGGAAACTAGAACAGCAAGTTTACAAACCTAAAGAAGACAGGCAGCTGAAGCAAAGCTTAGGACTAGAGTAAAAATCTGGTTTCAATTCTGAGATAACTCCTAGCGGGACTGGTGCCAGCTGCGTGCAAGGCCAGAGACTTGACCACTGTTCTTATTTCTCTGGCCCCAGAAAAATGCATTTAAATAAATACTTTCTCGTTCTTATTATTATGACTTTCTCTGACCTTCAATGAAATACCAGGCACATTTATACAGGCCTCAGTGATATGAAACACATGTGTTTCATTGCATTAAGGAATGTAGTCCATAAATTCTGACAGTCTTTAAGTCCTGACACGTGGGTGGGCTTAACGACATGATTCTAATAGTATATGCTGGAACTGAAGAGAGATAATTTCTTAGACAAACTCAAGGGAAGCAATGGGAAATAACCATTGCTTTGCTCTGGACTTACATCTTCCTCCCAGAGGAAGCCAGCTCTGTGTTGATGACACTAAAACAGGCCCATGGAAGACATTCAAATAGCAAAAGGCTTTCAGCCAACAAGTAATACTAAAGGGCAAGCCCTGTATCTATTTGAGTAGACACTCATCCTGGCCAAGCTATCAGGGGGCTGAACTAACTTCTCAATCTACTAAAACTAACTTACATGGCAGATTTGTGTGCTATTTTATATAACCATTATTTTGACTTCTAGTGTATTCCACAAATGGATAGAATTCTTACCATGTATTGTAGGGAACAAGCTGGTACAAAGATTGTGGTATAAATTTTTATCTTGACTCATTTCAAACACTTTTTCCCACTCCTTCACAGTCATTTGGTTCTTAATACTCTCAGCTGTTTGTTCCTCATCTCTGAGCTCTTTTCCTCCAAACTGAGGGACAGAGGAAAAAAAAAATTAGCACAGAAGCATTCAGAATAATGGGAAAGAATCTTCAATATAAACAAGCAACTAGGAGGCCAACTTCAGAATTTCCTGAGTATTGCAGTTAAAAAACAAAAACGTGTAGGGCCCAGTTAATATACTGAAGCATTTGTATAGTACCTAAATAATTTTAAATGCCCAGGAGATGATAATCCGTAATAAAGTATTAACCAGAATTATGTTCATCCATCTTTTCCCAGTCCTTCACAACCTTTCAAATTCTTTCTTACTACTTTCTCATTCAGGACACAGAATCAAGTTCTAAAAAAAATATAACAATAGGGTTCCAGAATAATGTGCCCAAAAAAGTTACATGACTTCTAGATTACTAAATCTCTCCAATTGTACTTTCTCAGTGAGTATGACAGAGAAACTGTGATCATTAGAAAACCCCTGCAGTGACCACAACACCCAAAAGGAGAGAGAGAACACAGGGGATTGCCCTGCCACAGAGACAGGGGGGATGGGGGGATGGGGGTGGGAGGGATATTATCCATGGTGGTGGAAGATGGGCACTGGTGGAGGGATGGGTATCTGATCATTGTATGATTGAAACCAAAGCACAAAAAATTGTAAATCTACAACTTTAAAAAAAATAAAATAAAATAAAGGGAAAAAAAAAAAAAAAGAAAACCCCTGCAGTTAATTTGTATCACTGCTCTTCAAGCTCTTTGAGCTCTGTTTTGTTTTGGGGTCACGCCTGGCAGTGCTCAGGGTTTACTCCTAGTGTACTTGGGGGACCATATGTGTTGTCTGGGAATGAACACAGGTAGGCCAGATGCAATGCAAATACCCTACCTGCTCTGGTCTGAGCTGTAACTTTTTAAAGCAAACAAACATTTTCAGTAAGATGTGAAAAGATTTGCCTTCTTGGGTGTGTGTGTGTTTTGTGTGTTTGTGTGTGTGTTTGTGGGGGGGGGGGGGGGAGGGGGGGTTATAGGAACCTCCCAAGCCTTGCTTAGGGATCTGGGCACCAATCCTGTCTGAATCAGGCTGAGTCTCAGAGCTCAACAGGGCCTGAGACTGGTGCTATGTGGGCCATGCAGTGCCGGACCAAAACAGGGTCCCATGCACGCAAAGCTGATGCCCTGACCCTCCCTGTATTATCCCCCAGTCCCCAGTCCTGAACATGAACTAGATAACTCAGATGTTTCAGAGAACTATAATTGTGTGGAAGTGTCGGGAAAGGACTCTGTTGAGCACTGGCATTTCATGAAGACTCACCCTTGGGTTGGTTGGTGCCACACAGCAAGCAAGGAATACCAGTCTGTAAGAAAGGTCCCGAACGCCAAGGGCCCGAAGTCCTCTAACACCTTCTGTCTCGTACCCATCAACACCACTGACACGGGAATTAGTTTCTGCACGTGCTCCTGCAAGATTGAATTCAGTTTGTTTGACAGCTCAAATACTGCAAAGGTTGAAAATCAAAAATTCCTCAAACAAATGAAACCTATAAGACAAAAGGCTTCATGGAGCCTTTGAAATTTTTCAAAACAGTACTAACTGCCGGGTCGGCCACGTGCAAGGCAAACGCCCTACCCGCTGTGCTATCACTCCCGGGTTCGATTCCTCTGCCCCTCTCAGAGAGCCCGGCAAGCTACCAAGAGCATCGAGCCACACGGCAAAGCCTGGCAAACTCCCTGTGACGTATCTGATATGCCAAAAACAGTAACAACAAGTCTCACAATTTCTTGTGAGACGTTACTGATGCCCGGTCGAGCAAATAGATGAATTAAAGGAGGACAGTGCTATAGTGCTACAGTATACTAATTGCAGCTAAATCAATTTGTCTTGCAGCTGGAGGAACTGAGAACTGATTAATTTAACCATAGAACACCTACCTGGGGTACTAAGCTTAGCGACATCGGGCACAACAATCAGCGTCCCTATAAAGTCACACTTGTCACCAGCTTGTGCTGATTCCACTGCTTCAGCCCTCATAATCACTTCCAAACTGCGGGGGATACTCCCTCGAGGAAGCTCTGCTTGAGTCTCTTGAATTCGAACCTGTGACAAAGACAAATAGCCAAAAGTGATACTTCTTTCAATCAAGATACAAATTAAATACCTAAAATATCAACATATAAAAATTATCATCTAGACTTTTTTTTTTGCTTTCTGAGTCACACCTGGCAATGCTCAGGAGTTACTCCTGGTTCTGCACTCAGGAATCATCTCTGGCAGTGCTTGGGGGACCAGATGGCATGATGGAATTGAACCTGGGTCAGCCGCGTGCGCGGCAAACACCCTACCCGCTGTACTATCTATCACTCCCGCCATCATCTAGAGTCTTTTGACATGTGACAATATTCAACTTGAAATATATATATTTTATACGAGGCCTTAAAGGCCTTGGCTGGAGCGATAGCACAGTGGTAGGGCGTTCGCCTTACAAGCGGCCAACATGGCCGACCCGAGTTCGATTCCTCCACCCCTCTCGGAGAGCCCGGCAAGCTACCGAGAGTATTCGATATGCCAGACACAGTAACAACAAAGTCTCCAATGGAGACGTTACTGGGCCCGCTCGAGCAAATCGACGATCAACGGGAGGGCCTTTACCTATACGAGGCCTTGGGTTTGATTCCTGGCATACAAACCAAAGAAAATAGTATTCAGCTGAAATCTAGTCATATTTGAAGATCCTTAAATTAACATTGAATGTCACGTTATCCAAATAAGCCATTACCGGGCTTATAAAGAAATAACTTGCATAGGCCAAATCCAATTTTTTTTTTCTTTTTGGGTCACACCCGGCAATACACAGGGGTTACTCCTGGCTCTGTGCTCAGGAATTACCCCTGGCGGTGCTCAGGGGACCATATGGGATGCTGGGAATCGAACCCGGGTCGGTCGGCCACGTGCATGACAAACGCCCTACCCAGGGCTGTGCTATTGCTCCAGCCCTGGCCAAATTCAATTTAAATGAAAGTTAGCAAAGTACCTTTTGAAAATCAACAAATCTTGACTTATTTGTATCTAGCAGGAATCTCTTTCTGTTAGCACACACTGGGTTTCGGCAGATGCTCGGCTGCGTGTACTTGAACTGCTGCTCTACATCCTTGATCACAGTCTGGCAGTCCAAGCACAGGAACGTTCCGCTCACGAGCTCCGGGTGAACTGGGTGAGTCCGTACCACCTGCCCACTGATGCGAGTGAGCAATCCAATTCTGGAGGAGGTGAGTTCTCGAATTCTGTTTCAAGTCAGATATCGCATTAGTCAGTACCCATGCCCCAAATGAGATTTTGTTTAACTGGAAGGTATTCAAATATAAGTACACTTGAACTACTGTGAACTACTTTATGAAAATAAAATGTATAAAAATTGCAAAAAAAACCCCCCCAAAACAAGACAAACAAACAAACCCCCCCCCCCAAAATAACTACACTCAACACTGTAGCACTGCTCTCCTGTTGTTCATCGATTTGCTCGAGCGGGCCCAGTAACGTCTCCATTTTGACTCAATACACTTAAAAAAAATTGATATAAAACGACTGTCATGGGGCTGGAGTGATAGCACAGCAGGTAGGGCGTTTGTCTTGCACGCAGTCAACCCGGGCTCCATTCCCAGCATCCCATATGGTTCCCCGAGCACCACCAGGAGTAATTCCTGAGTGCAGAGCCAGGAGTAACCCCTGTGCATTGCTGGGACAACCCCCACCCCCCCAAAAAGGACAGTCACTACGTTGTTCTGTCAATTCTGAAATCTGAAATGACACAATAAAAACACTCAACAACAAAGTAAAAAATAATTCCATTTTTCCCCCATAACTGTATTTTTTATAATTTCAAAGTAAGCATAATATAGTTAAGCTGAGGAAAAAATTCTCTTCAGTTCAGAAATACTATCGCCTGCAGTACTATCTCTCTGATCCCCAGAAACACTTCTTAAACTTTAGAAACTGTTTTTCCTTACATAACTGGGTGACTGAGGCCACAGATACAGCTTAGTGACAAAGCATTTGCTTTGTGACGTCTTAGATTTCACCCCCAAAACCACAAAATAGGTCATCTTACAAGCAATTTCAATAGTTTACATTTGCAAGTTTTGGGGTGAGGAAGATCCTCAAAGGGCCTGAGCACATGCCTGGCAATGCAGAGGAGTTACATTTATATGCTCAGCATTGTACATACAACAGGTATAGCCCTGCTGGCCTCCTGCACATCATGGGCCCTGAGCATCACTGGGAGTGGTGAATGGTACCTCCATCTAAATAGAGGCAAAATAAAACCAAAAAAAGCAAGATTTCAAGGTATCATCTCAACTTCATCTAATTAATTTATACTTAACTGCTAAAACGGAAGCAATTTTATAAGTGATGGACATGGAGAGTATCATGTTAAGTGAAATGAATCAGAAAGAGAGGGACAGACATAGAATGACTGCACTCATTTATGGAATATAAAATAACATAATATGAGACTAACACACAAGGCCAAGAGACAAGGCCAAGAAGATTGCTCCACGATTGGAACCTGTCTCATGAGCTGGGGGAGAAGGCAGTTAGAATAGAGAAGGAATCACCAAGTCAATGATGGTTGGAGGGATCATTCGGGATGGGAGATGTGTGCTGAAAGTAGATAAGGGACCAAACATGATGGCCTCTCAGTATCTGTACTGCAAACCATAATGCCGAAAAGGAGAGAGAGTAAGACAGAAATTGTCTGCCATAGAGGCAGAGGGTGGGTTGGGGTAGGGTCGGGAGGGATACTGGGGACATTAGTGGTGGCAAATGTATACTGGTGGAGGGATGGGTGTTCGATCATTGTATAACTGAAACTCAATTATGAAAGCTTTGCAACTGTATCTCACGGTGATTCAATAAAAATAAAATTGAAGCAATTTAAAATTTATGCTATTTCAGGTCTGCTACTGATTTCCAAAGATTCACTGTTTTCCTATTTTCTTTCTCAACAAAGTTTCTCTTTCCCATTTCATGTCTCCAGGGTGGGGTTGGGGGTGGGGTTTTCTCTAAATTAAAACTTTCTGGGTAACTGGGTCTAAGTCTTTACAACAACCTCCCAAGTTTTCTGATAATTTGGTAAATTCCTTTTCTTCCAAAGGTTTCTTACTTGTGTCTGGTGGGTAGGTCTTGGAATGCAACATAAAAATCTTTGGCAAGAGGGATCTCCTTACGGTCTTTGACAAAGTTTTTCAATGCCCGACAAAGGTAAGGATAAACTCTGAAAAGCAAAAAACAAACAGAAAAACCACAATAGTGACAACCAAGTCTTCAAACTATGCAGATACTTTCTACATGTCTCATTCAAGTCTCTCCTTACCACAGATACTAAGACAACAGAAATACCTACATAAAAATAATGCATCCAAACACCTACCATCTCTAATAATCAGCTCCCATATACACTGCAGTCACACTCTCCTAGCAATGTCTGATTTCAATCTAATAAAGCAGTCGAGTGAACGCTCAGTATACTTAGTATACTTCTCTAGGATTATTTCTCTGTTCCTCCTCCCATAACTGTTACTAAATATTATTTGATGGCCGGGGCAGTAGTGTGCATGCCTGGCTTAGACATTTTTAGCTGTAGCAATTGTCATAAGCTGAACATCAGGTTGTGGTGCTTTGCAAAATTGGCCCCAGTGTTTGCCTGGGTCCGTACTCAGTAACCTGTAGTTTAGGCATACAAGTTAATGGTTTAGAGTACTTGCTGGGGGTTGCTCTGGTATGTACACATGTTGTGCTTGATGTAGGTTGTACTCCTTTCTGTCAACACTTACCTGGCTTTGTGGCTCAACTAGAAATACCTGTGGTGCCAAGAATCCCAGAAACAGAGCAACCAGGTTCAAACAGCAGAGCTGCTAGGACTGCACTCAGTTCGTGTTGGACACCAGGAATTTGAACTTGTGACATATATACTAGTATGAAGGCAGACTAAGCTGGTGGTTTATTTTATTTTTTTGGTAATGCAAGGATCAAACCCAGGGACTCATACATGCAAGGTAAGTGTTCTACTACTAATCTAAATCTACTTCAGCCTAGATTTAGCTTTTGATTAATAATAAAGACTTGGGAAGAATTCTGATGAGCAAAATTGTAGAAATCCTCTATTGTACCAGTGAGACTAAGTATATGACTTCTGGATAGAACTGCTGCAAACCTATAACCATAACTTCGTCTATCTAAGCAATGGAGTCTTGAAGTCCTCTGAGACATTAGCTATTTTAGGAAACAAAAACACTGCTTGTTCTGTGTAAGATGTGCTTCTGCGACCAGCCCTGAATGTCAACAAACCTCCCAACTTGTCAGTTCAACTTTTCCTGGTGCATATTTACACAATAAACCCTGTTGCATACCCCCAACCATTCTTAATGTATCAGCTCTGACTAGAAGTATCAGGACAAGTCCCGTATCTCATCTCACAATGAGGTAATGGGCAGCATTAGTCCTCTATTACTGTATCTTCATCACTCTTCCGTAACATTTCATGATAATTTCAACTTGACTTTATACAGTTTATTACATTAACTCAATACAATGTAAAGGCTTTTAGTATTTTTTGCTGTACACTGACCAATGAAGGCCAGGAATATGGCTCATTTGTACAGTCTTGCATGTGTGAAAACCTGGAGTTGATTACCAGCATGGTACAAAAAGGTCAAAATTATAATACATGATGCATGATGTCTGAAGTATTTGTTTTTCTGCCCTCAAAGTAATATTCAACTATTAAATTTTCCCAAGGAAGTTTATATGGCACGGGAAAAAAATTATATTATTAGGTGAAAAGGTAGGCTACTTATCCATAGCATTATTCCAATGATTACATATATATGTAATATATATAACATATATCACATATTACATACTTACGCAATATATATTACATAGTACATATATATATACACACACTAATACACTAGGGTGTGCTGAGAATCCTCAGAAAATTCTTTCAGATTTGGAAGGCTCTTGGAATTTTGTATCAACAGTCCTACTATTTATGGTTATTTATGGACGGTGACATTTCATTCTTACTTTTTTCTATTTTCTACTATATATAGCTTTTATCGTCAGGGAAAAAAAAACAGAAACACACACCAAGAAAAGTCAAACAAACTTGGGGTTGAAGTCATAGCTCAGGCAGAAGGCCAGGGTTCTATCCTGGATACTACACGGCCCTTTAAAAACCACTGTGAGGGATCTCAAAACACAGAGCTCGGAGCAGGACCCAAGCACTGCCAGGTGTAGCCAACATCCCCCCACCCTCACCCATAAGCCCAAGAAAAAACACCTAAGAAGAGAACAATATTACTATTTTATGTTTATTACAACAATATGACAGTATTACTAAAGAACGAGATCACACACTTTCTTAAAATGACTTGTCCTGGGATGGAAAGGATCATGTGATAGCACGACATGTCAGGTGCCAGACAGAAGTCACAGATGTTCTTAAAACTGGAGAAAATTGAACCTCTATTGCTGCTCCACGCTTCCTACTCTGCAGCTGAGACAGAGCTGGCCCTACTTGGAGGGAGAAGCAGATCATCTCCCTTCCGGCTAGGTTCCAGCAGCCTCCAGGCCCAAGCTTTGTTATATTAACAGATTTCCCAACCAAGATTCATACACCCATACCTATAGAATTCCTCTTGAACAGTGGTGGAAAGTTGTTGGTTAAACTGCTCCAGGTCCATAAAACTCACAACCAGTGTATTTCTCTCAGGACGAATCAGCTCCTCTGCTAACTGTAAATACTTAATTTCTCCATCGCTGTTCTGAAACCTGCAGGTACATACAAGTTAGACTCAATAAAAAAATTAGTCAATTAAAAATAACTCAGAGGTGGGGCTGGAAAGATAGCAGAGCGGGTAGGGCGTTTGCCTTGCACGCGGCCGACCCGGGTTCGATTCCCAGCATCCCATATGGTCCCCTGAGCACCGCCAGGAGTAACTCCTGAGTGCAGAGCCAGGAGTAACCCCTGTGCATCGCCAGGTGTGAGCCAAAAAGAAAAAAGAAAAAAAAAACAAACTCGGAGGGGACCCAAGCAATAGTACAGCATGGTTGGGTATTTTCCTTGCAGACGACCGATCCCCAGCATTCTATATGGTCCCCCAGCACTGTCTAAGTGTAATAATTCCTAAGTGTAGAGTCAGGAAAAAGCTGAGTACCACCTGGGTGTGGCTCCCAAACAGATACAAAAAAATCGAGATACCTGCTAATTCATCACATTAGTTTAAAATCAACTTTACAGGCCTACGTGATATTTGTATAACTACGGAGAAGTCACTTATCTCTACTAAACTTCCCCAATCCTTTATAAAAACAAGGTGGGGCAGGAGATAGTATGGCAGTATGCCTCATACACCCAACCCAGATCTAATCCCCAGCACCACATGGACTCCCAAACATTGCTGGGGATAGCCCTGCAAGCCCTCAGGCACTGCTGGTGTTGGTTCGGTGATCACTGGTCACACAGGGCCTGAACAGAACTGCATTCCTGGATCCTACAAGGATCATCACCAAGAGTGGTTCATGGGGGGTGGGGGGGGGGGGGGTGGGACCTGGAGCAATAGCACAGCAGGTAGGGTGTTTGCCTTGCATGTGGCCAACCCGGGTTTGATTCTCAGCATCCCATATGGTCCCCTGAGCACCGCCTGGGGTAATTCCTGAGTGCAGAGCCAGAAGTAACCCCTGTGCATCGCCAGGTGTGACCCAAAAAGCAAAAAAAAAAAAAAAAAAAAAAAAAAGAATAGTTTATGGGAAGAGTGTTGGAACCCCCCCCAGTAAAAACCACCAAGTAACACTTCAGCTCCAAAGACTGCTATGAAGACAGGGCAGGAACGATAGTACAGCGGGGCAGGACGCTTGCTTTGCATGTGTCTGATCTGGGTTCAATCCCGGCACCACATACTGTACATACATACACACATACATACACACACACCAGCCAGGCGTGAACCCTGAGCCCAGAGCCAGGAATAGCCTGAGCACTGCCAAGGGTGCATGTGTGTGAGACCCCTTCAGCCAACACAAAAGCAAGACTGCTGTCAATATTAAAATGAGAGAAAGTCTGTAAACTACTTTACTTAGCTCAGAGTATGGAAAATATCGAGGTCTTCAATTTATTTAACCTCAGAAATTTCTTTCCCTTAATTTTTGTTTTGGGTCATACCTAGCGGAGCTCTAGGTCTACTCACTGCTGCGTTTAGGGGTTACTCCATGCAGTCTCCTGCAGGTATAGTATGCAGTGCACTGAGCTGGATCTCTTGTTGGTGCTAAGCCAGGACATTAGGATGAGCCTCTTGATGTTGCCCTGCAAGCAGGAAGTAGAACGGAGGTCCTGCTTCTCACTAAGTGCGCAAGCTAAAAACTTGTGAGTTCGACAGCATGCTCTCATACACCTGCCTAGTCAGACATTATCTTGGCAGTACAAGGCAGCAGTTTCCCCCTCTCTTACACATCCTTAATCTGGACTGACCTTCCAAGTATCAGTATGCGCGTTCTCTTTGCCCTATGTGTAACCAACCGCAAGAATGTGGGAGGCGTAATCTATAAAACCAGCTCGTGTTGTCCTCTGATGTTTTTAATCATGACAACATAGCTTCGACATCATGGCTTTGATAAGACAATGTATACCCTGGTGTTCCTCTGACGAATGCTCATCCTATAACTGTTGGTACTCTCATTAGTGAGTCTTTCTGTGATGAAGTCATTAGGATGTGACTGATAAAAAAACAGAATAAAAAGAGGCCTCTGGCAGTTGCTCTCTGCCTCAAGCTAGAACGAGCCTTGGCCCTCTGTGCTCTCTATATCCCTCTTACATGTTCTATCTCTGCGCCTCCGACCGAAAGAATGTTCATGCAACAATCTCTGGCCCTCAATTCTTTTTATTTTAGCAGGGGTAGGAAGCACAAGCAGTGGTGCTCAGGAACCACTCCTGGTGGAATTCAGGGGGACCTAAGAGGTGCCAGAAATCAGGACAGCTGCACGCAAGACAAAAGTGTTCTACTATCTCAACAGCCTCTAGTCCTCAATTTTTAAAATAATACGTAAAGCACAAATGCTAATAGCTATGCTATCACTACTGTCCCACAGTTTTTGGATAAGCAAAACTCCAATCTTTGGGTTTGGAAGATGGCTGCAGGAGCTGAAGGGCATGGCTTTGCATGTGGGAGCCCCAGGAATGAGAGTTCCCCCAGCCCATCAGAGTGGTCCCTGAGCACTGTGCTGAGAGTAGCCTCTGAGCACCACCTGGGGTGATCACCCCAGAAAAAAACTCCGAAACTTAATTTCTATTGGGAAAATTGATAAACCAATTTAAGAATCAAAATGGGATGGGGCAGTGAGTAAGTCTAGTGGGTAGAGCCCTTGCCTTGAATCCCCCAACCCCTGACAAGAGCGATTCCTGGACACAGAGCCGGGAGTAAGCTGTAAGTACTGCGAGAGAAAAGATTAATCAGAAACACATAGAAATGAAGATGCTGGGGGGCTGGAGTGATAGCACAGCGGGCAGGGAAGTTGGCTTGCCTGCAGCCAACCCGGGTTCGATTCCCAGCATCCCACATGGTGCACTGAGCACCACCAGGAGTAACCCCTGTGCATCACTGCGTGAGACCCAAAAAGCAAAAAAAAAGAAAGAAAGAAAGAAAGAAAGAAAGAAAGAAAGAAAAGGAAATGAGATGCTGGGGCTGGAGAGTTTGAACAGGGTTTAAGGAGCAAGTCTTGCATGTAGCTGACCCCAGTGCAATTCCTGGCACTGCGCCTGGGCCTCCTAGCACAGCCAGGAGTAAGCCCCAAGCACTGCTAGATATAAGCCCCAAATCAACACTGTTCAAAAGCTGTTCAATAGCTAGAATTTTAACTTGGTAGAAATTTGGAGATGGACCACATCTGGCTATGTTCATACAGTGCCAGGAATCAAACAGAAGTTTACTGCATGCAGGGCAAATAAATGCCTTAAGTCCTGGACTATCTGGCCAGTTTCAGTATGGGAAGACAAAAAGTTCTGGGGAAGAATCACAGTGAAGGTTTTGTAACTGATAATCTATTTGCAAAGCACTATGCCCGAGGTACCTTTCACCAGTGTAGTTCCTGCCCTTGGGTTGCACTCTCCCAAGAAAACATCTCTACGAAAGAGAAGTAGACACAAGACAACTAAGTCTACTGAAATAGAGTACAAATGAATAACCAAAAGCCAGGGTTCTGGGACTGGATGGATACTACAGCAGGTAGGATGCTTGCCTTGCACGTGGACAACCCGGGTTCGACTGATCACATCTGGTCCATATATGGTCCCCATCCCGTCAGAAGTTGTCCCTGAGCCCAGAGCCAGGAGTAAGGAGGGAAGGAGGGAGGGAATGGAGGGGGGAAGGGGAGAGAGAGAGAGAGAGGCTCCACTGCTCATTTAAAACTCAAAACACTAAGTTCCCATTTAGTTCTTATAACAGCAACTATACTGAAGTTTCTACTAAGGGTCTCTTATCAAAAGTAAAAAAATTCCTAAGACATGCCGAGGCATTTACACACCTTTGGGGAACAGAACAGAGCCCTAATCTTCCCTGGGCATAGAAATGACAGCTCCAGCTGCTAAGAGAAACTGGGGTCCCCGGTGCAAGCCAAGGCTCCAGGGGCTATCAGAGACCAGAAAGGCGAGCAAGTGACCGAGCAGAACAGACTCTCTCGCCTGGCCCCCCGGATCTACAACTACCACCCCCACCCCCACTCACTCTAGTACAGCAGGACTATGATCTCCACTACCGGCAGCGGGTCCCGAAAACTAGGCTCCTGTGGGCGAAAACGGGGTTCTGCCAGGGCTGCGGGGGTGGGTCCCGTGTGACCCAACCGGGCAAGGCAGCAATCTTCACCCAAGCCTCACTCACAGCAAACGAGGGGGTACGCGACCCCCAGCCTCGCTCACCTGGACCTAGAAGGGATACACGACCCCAGGCCTCGCGCACGGGGGATCTAAGACTGGTACACGACCCCCGGCCCCACGCACAGGGAACTGAGGGGTCACACGACCCCTAGCCTTGTGAACCGGGAACTGGAGGGGATGCACGAGCCCCCCGCCCCATGCACAGAGAACTAAGGGGTTACACGACCCTCAGCCTCGCGCACGGGGCACTAGAGGGGATACATGACCCCCCAGTCCCATGCACAGGGCCCAGTGCACGGGGGGTGGGGTTGGGGGGGACTAGCCCTGCAGCCGCACGCACGGGATGTGGGGCGGGATGACGGAGGAAGCACAGGGGGTGGGGCTCCGGCGCCCCCCCCCCCCCGGAAACCCCCTCCTCGGTCCTTGCCAGGCTCCTGGCGGTCTGCGCGAGCCCCTGTGCGGCGCGGGGGGCTCTGCCAGGGCCCGGTCGCCGGTGCCGGGACACGCGCCGCTGGCGCAGGAAGCGACCTGGGGCCGAGCAGAGGCGCGCGGAAGGGGCGCACTTACTCCTCCAAGAAGTCCAGGAACAGCTTCTGGCACTTTTCGGCGACCTCGTCGCGGACTTCCGGGTGCTGGCTGCCGGCGCTCGGCTCCGCGGTGGCCGCGAGGTCCATGGCTGCCCAGCAGTGCGGGGGGAATCCAGGAGTGAGGCGCCGCCGCCGCCGCCGCCACCACCACGCGCCGCTTCTTCCCGGACGTGGCCGATTTGCGCGCGCCGCCGCCGCCCCGCCCCCCTGGCACGCCCCCGGGACGGCCAGAGCCAATCGTGACTCGGGAGTTTGGGGCTTTCGCGCCAAACGTGCCCAATCAGCGCGGCCTCCTCCCGCAGCCCCGCCCACGGAGAGGGGATTTCGCGCCAAAAAGGCCAAGGCCTCCCCGACAACAGCGGAGCTCTGCCTCTGCGCCTGCGCACTGGGGTTGTCTCCAAGCAAGTCCTAGGGTGGGAGGAAAAAAACGGAAACAACAAACAAAATTGAAAAGGGGCTGGAGCGGTAGTCCTGCGGGGAGGGCACTAGTCTTGCTCAGGCACCACTTGGCGTCTTTGAGCACCGCCAGGGGGCATTCCACAGTGCTGAGCCTAGTGTAATCCCTGAGCACCCCCCCAAAAAAAACCCCAAGTAAGCCTGGCCCCCCTGCCGCTTTTAGGAAAGGCACACCTTTGTTGGGTGGTTTTTCCAATATTCTTCAAATCACTCCACTGATACTGAGCTAAGACTGATACTGAGCTAAGACTGATACTGAGTTAAGACTCTAAAAAGAGGACAACCGGTAAGATTCAGATCTCTTGCTTGAGCCATCTAATTGAAGAAAATTAAATCACTGGGTAAAACTGTAAAAAAGAAAAAGGACGGTATAAACAATGCCTAGGAGTTGGGAGGGCATCGCTATTTTATTCTAATTATCACTGCCCTCCCGTTGCTCACCTGGGAAATTGTGGATTCTGTTGATTTCTCTGCTAAAGACTTTTGTGGGCCCCCATAAGTGAATAAATGACTCAAAAACACTTGTCTTTCAAGTTATCAGTTCAAACCCGGGGGCTCTGTAGTTTAGGGTCCCCAGTCCAGAGGCTTGGAAAGTGGCCTGGGAAGTTCCTTGGGCAAGTATCAGTTCTTCGACTTAATACCTAGCTTGCGGCACAGAGATCCTGAGCTCCCAGGGGAAGAGGGAAAAACAGGGATTTGGCTTCTATACTTCAGATTTTTCTCCCCATTTTTGACTGTCTTCTCTCTGCCCCCTCCCTTTTCACTTTTCACCCATCTCTATGTACATTACTGGTAAGCTCTCATTGTTAGTGCCCGTCTTCAGCGAGTCCTTGAGATGTTCCTTTATTGTTTTTTCGTTAACCTTGGGTTTTCTGTTTTTTCGTTAACCTTGGGTTTTCAGGACATCTGCAGCTCCGAGAGATTAAGAGAAACCTGGACAGGTTCTGGGGAGAAGGGTCAGGGAGTGCAATATTTCGTTCTGGGGAGTGGAGATTTAATCCAGAGCATCATACGGTTCTACCAGCAACCCCACACCAGCTTTTAACCTGGGAGTGGAGCTGTATGTGCCATCACGCCCACTCCCGGGGGCGGGGAGGCATGCCTAGAGAACCTTCATCTTTATATACTATAATAACTGCACTGTATCACTGTCCTCCCTGTTGTTCATCAATTTGCTCAAGCAAGCCAGTAATGTCTCCATTGTGAGACTTGTTGTTACTGTGTTTGGCATATCCAATACACCACGGGGAGCTTGCCAGGCTTTGCCGTGCGGGTGAGATACTCTTGGTAGCTTGCTGGGCTCTCCGAGAGGGGCGGAGGAATCAAACCTGGCTTGGTTGGGCCAGCTGCAGCTGTGCGCCAGGCAAACGCCCTGCCGCTGTGCTATTGCTCCAGCCCACTATAATAACTATTATTTATAATTTTACATGTAAGGGCCACACCCTGGGATGTGTATGTATGGGAGGAGGATGGTTGGAGGAAGGACATTTCATCCATGCGACCAAACATTTGCTCTACCAATTGAGCTATTCAATTTCCATCTTCTGAGATTTAGCCCATTAAAAAATCGTTTAAGGGCAAAGGAGGTGATTTAGTGGTAGAGCACTTGCTTTGCCTGTGTGAGGCCCTGGGTTCATACCCCACCCTCATGTCATTTTTTTTTTTGCCATGCATACAAATATGTGTGTAGATACACAATACATATACACAAACTCACAGAATAATTACAAAGTTAAAAGAATAAGAAAAAAGTCATTGTGTACTGTGGTATATCTTAGATTGCATGAGATTACCTCATTTTAAGAGGATGGGAACTTTGGCCCTACACCCAGCTCCAGAATCTGCCTCCTCACTAGACATCACCACTTGCATATTTTAGGAGCTTCCAACTATGCTGCCTGCATCTTCATTTTTGTTGTTTTGGGGCCATACCTGACTATGCTAAGAGCTTATTCCTGGCTCTGGGTGCAGGATCACTCTTAGAGGGGCCTGAGGGTCTATATGGGGTGCCAGAAAAGAACTCTGGTCGGACACATGCAAGGCAAGTATTTTCCCACTGTTACACTAGGTCTTGGTCCCTGCCTGCATTTTCCTAATTTCTCCTACACCAAGAACAGATTTTTAAAGTATCCACAAGTAAAGGTAAAGGTAAAGGCCCTCCCGTTGATCGTCGATTTGCTCGAGCGGGCCCAGTAACGTCTCCATTGGAGACTTTGTTGTTACTGTGTTTGGCATATCGAATACTCTCGGTAGCTTGCCGGGCTCTCCAAGAGGGGCGGAGGAATCGAACTCGAGTCGACCATGTTGGCTGCTTGTAAGGCGAACGCCCTACCGCTGTGCTATCGCTCCAGCGATAATCCACAAGTAATCCACAAGTAGGTTTTTTTTTCTTTTTGGGTCACACCCAGCGATGCTCAGGAGTTACTTCCGGCTCTGCACTCAGAAATTACTCCTGGTAGTGCTTGGGGGTCCGTATGGGATGCTGGGGATCAAACCCAGTTCAGCTGAGAGTGCAAGGCAAATGCCCTACCTGCTATACTATTACTCCAGCTCTTCCAGAAATAGGTTGATGAGCAAATTCTGCCTCATCTCAAAATACCTTCTTTCAGTCCCAGTTTTCCTTTTCTCTTGTTTTTTTTTTTTTCTACCTTTAGGGTTGGTAACTCAGAACTTAAGTCTCATGTCCAGAAGGAAAAATCCAGAGTTCAATTATAGACTGCAGGCTTATTTATTGCAGCTGCGAGCACTGAGAAGATCGGCATTCCAGTTCTGAGTCCTCCACCCCTCATGCGTCCTCCCTTCTTCAGTGATGCACTCTGGAGAAGAACAGCAGATGCCCCCAACCACTGTGAGGGCCCTGTGGTAGATGAGGGTTGTGGAAATATGAAAAATTTCTTCCAGGGTGAAAGAAGGTGTGAGCTATGAAATATCTCTATGCTACATTCTGGAGAATTGTTAGAGAACTATCAGTGCATACCTGTACACTGGATTGGGCCTCAGATTGTTGTCTTTAGAAATTCCTGTTTATAACGCTGGCCTTTTACTGTGTTTGGGTCTTCACTCCTAAACAGTTCCCAGTGCTGATTGGATACCTGCTGTAAATGAAAGGACTGGCTCACTGTCTGCAATGTTTGCATAAACAGTATAATTTGTGCTAAATATGTTCGGAAAGTTTTCTTGGGGTTGAGGGATTTGAGCCACATCTGACTCTGCACTGAGGATCTCTCCTGGCAGGCTTCGGATACTATATGAGATACTGGGGCTTGAACCCGGGTCAGCCACGTGCAAGGCAAGTGCCCTACTTGTGAGGTGAGGAAGCGAAATGACTAAGATGGCTGCAGAGAGAGTAGGATCTGAGGGGATTGCTCTGCTCTCTCTGGATTAAAAAGCTGTTGACAGCAGTTTTTGAAACCATTTATTGCAGAGTAAAGGCCCAGGGAGAAGGAGCTATTTAGGAGATAGTAGCTCCTTCCTCTGGAGATGGGCAGAGGAGGTGGCCCCCAACTTGTATGAGGGTCTCTTCACGGAGGCCTCCTGCTACTCCTGCACCACAAGAATAGTCAGGGTCACGCTTTGATATGCAAGTTGAGGTGCAGCTGAAATCCAGTCAGACCCCATCAGCACCTCTGTTCCCAGAGTGCAGTGGAACTAGCACCTTTCTGGCTTAAAGCCCTTTTTTCCCTTATCAGACTGGCCCAGCTAATTCCATTTCTTCTCTTCAAAAGGCAAATGTGGAGAAGAATTTTGCTGTCCATAGGAACCTGGAACTTTCTACTAGAATGCTGTCATTACTTGGAAGGATGTTTTGTGTATTGTATAGATGGTATTTTACAGCCTAAACTATTAATTAAGTGCTTGGGCTCTGGACTGTCATCCATCCTCTGGAACATTGACTCTGTGATCTTGGTGACACACTATATTTCTTTGCACAGCTTTTTTTGTTTGTTTGTTTGTTTTTCAGTAGCCAAAGGTTGTTATCATTATTTTAAATATTTTTGCCTTTTATACTATATTTAATTCCCCCTTTCCCTTTGCCATTTTCTGTGCTGTATACTGCTTATGCTGTGCTGGAGGTCACACACTGGTGCTGGGGATCATGCCAGTGCCAGGGACTAAACTTCCCTCACCACCTGCAAGCCAGGTTCTCTACCACTGAGCCACAGTGGGGTTCAAGAGCAAATGCCAGTAATATAAGGAATGCATTTCCACCGAGGACTGTTCTGTGGGGCCGGGGAAGGGTGCAGAGGGTTAGAACATAGGCTTTCCATGTCATACCCCCAAGTCTGATGCTGAGCACTGCTGGGAAACCCCAAGCCAGGAATAGCTCCTGAGGATTCCTGGGCATAGTCTAAAAGTAAACCAGTAAAAGAAGTGTTTGTGAGGAAATGTGGAGGGCTGATGTGACCAGTCTTTCCTTTTTCTAGAAAGTAGGGGGTGCCCATACAAGATAGCATAGAAATCCATGAATCCTTTTATTTTTTTTCTCCCTGCTCTCCTGGCACTGGGATGCGTTCAGGCTTCACTGCCAGTGGCTCCTATCTTCCTCTAAATTCTGGAATCATGATATCACCCCCACCACCCTCCTCTGAAAGTCCTGATTATCTGCTGTGTGCAGGCCCTTTTTTACACATGCTCAGGCACAGGTATGCCGACCATGATCCTACAATAGATT